CAGCAATAACAACAACAGCAATAACAACAACAGCAATAACAGCAATCGCCAGCAATAACAACAATCGCCAGCAATAACAAAAGCCAGCAATAACAAAAGCCAGCAATAACAACAGCAATAACAACAACAACAGTAACAACAACAGTAACAACAACAACAGCATTAACAAAAGCAACAACAGCAATAACAACAAAAACAGCAGTAGCAGCAGGAACAGCAACATCAACAACAACAACAGCAATAACAACAACAACAGCAACAACAACAACAGCAACAACAACAGCAACAGCAACAACAACAACAACAACAGCAACAACAACAGCAGCAACAACAACAACAGCAACAACAACAACAGCAACAACAATAATAGCAAGAACAACAGCAGCAATAACAACAACAGCAACAACAATAATAGCAAGAACAACAGCAGCAGCAGCAACATCCACAGCAACATTACAAACAGAAATGACAGCAAGTACTTACAGAGTCATGGTAACGCATGAACAATCGTGTCTTCTTCCAGTTATTCATCGTTTTCATTTTCAAGAACTAAACAAAGACAACATCATCATTTCAATGATTCTATGATAATTCTATTTAAACCAGCCAAAGATCATATTTACCAWTTGACCGAGATTAGTGTTGTCTTCCTGATATACACGGATCTGTTCGCACTTCTTGATCACTTGATCATCTCCTACAGCTAAAAAAACGTTTTAGGAATTTTAAAACTTTATCATAATTATACCCTTATCTCCTCTGACTCTCGCCCCTTTCCTCTCTCTATCTTTGTAACTTTTCCCATGCTTCCAGTTATTGGGAAGTGCCGACCTACCTTTCATTGCCCCAGATTTCTCCCTCATGTCTTCCAGTGCATGTCTACGAACTTCATTTAGAMTTTCATGGACGTCATCATGCAGGAAAAGCCTTTTAAAAAAAAGAGAGTTTAGGAACTTCAACGTAGAACATGTCGTTTCACTAGTCCATCTCCCTCTCTCCTAYCAGCCTTTCAATACAGGGGAATCACATATTTTTAGGAGGAGATGCACCAGTGTTAGTATTGTTAATTGAAGCCGTGCATTCTTTACTTTACCGTTGGTATTTGAGAATATTTAGACGCTGATACGAGACTAAGCMTAAGTAAATGAGTCTGTAAGCAAGGAATACAGCGGTAATTTGCATCTCGAAAATGGTMTGTTTTCCAAAAAAAAAAGATCGTCAGCTTATCTAGGGGAGTGGTGCACACCTCCTCTACATCCGCTCCTGGAAAATTCACTGGTCCTTCATTGCAAAAGAAAGGAAACATTTCTTTTCACCTGAATTCCTCAAACTTGTTTTTCATGTCAAAACAGTTGCTGAACAATTCTTGTACCAGTTTAGTAAAGTCCTTCTTAAGTCTTTCACGGATCTGCTTTTCCTGGAAAACACAATCAAAATACGTTACCTACCCAGAGTATTATTGCAACCGTGAGTATAAACTTAAACAACAGTAAAATAGGATCACTTCTTTTCGTACCTGGTTCATAAGTGTCTCTCTCATCTCCATAATTTTAGCTCGYAAAGCAGTGATTTCTAGAAAATAAATAAATCGATATTTTCTTGTTTAGATAATGCGTTAAATGGAATCTAACCTGAGTATCAGGCTCTCTTAGGCCCCCAACCCCTTCCCAGGCACCCTGAAGTTCTGATACTCAGGTTAGATGGAATCTAACAATTTGTGGTTTGACWGGATGGTAATAAAGTAGGTGGCAAGTTGGTTGATAGTTTGGTGGCTGGTTGGTTGGTTGGCTGCTCGGATGGTTAGTAAGTCGGTGGTTGGTCGGTCGGTTGGTTGGTTAGTAGGTAGATAGGTTGGCTAGTAAGTGGAAGGGGTCGCATAGGTTGGTTGTTTTGGTTGRTAAATTGATTGGTTGGCTAGTTGGTTTTTTAGTTTATAAGGTTTAAATAAGGTTTAAAGCTTTATTTACCTAATAATTGTTCATGGCTTCTATCGGCTAATTGACAATGGACATCTACAATAGTGGCAGCGGAACTCTCCTCTAGTTGGTCTTTAATCTGTCTTATTTCTTGCTCTTTCATGTACAACAGCTGGTGCTGGTGTCGTAGGAGGTTCTCATAATACATAGCATAACTAAATATCAACAAGAGCACAGTTAAATGATATTTATAATATCATTCACATTAAACAAAATCAGATGCATTGTGAACGACAGCTTAARCAGTAACAACCATACAGCAGCAGCAACAAAGACAAGAATAAGAATAACTGAGCTGCAGGATGAACAAAAAAGCTAAAGCAATAACAACAGCAGACTCAGCAATGCAACAACAGCAACAATAGCTACAGTAAGCAACATCAAAGCAACAGTAACTAAGGATACGAACTGATTACCTTTCGAAGCAAATTCTTTCTCTCATGTTCGTTTCTGCTGCTAGTCTAACTAAGCATTTATTCAAATGTTCCTGTTGAAAAAAGAAGTTAACATTAAACCAATTCCAATTACTACTCGTATTAGTTTTTAAAATTGTTCAATAATGCTTTTGCTTATGTCATCCTTGATAATTTCTATTGACCAATTCGTGTTAGTAATATTACCACAAATTGCCACAGGCCACTTACTCGAGTGAATTCCAAGGTCTCTCCATCTTCCATGTGACCAGCCATCAAGTCTAGTACAAAATCTTCTACTAAATGTGGTTTGGGGATAGTGGAGTTTTCCTTCATGACCTGCAATTGTGAGACACCTGGTTGTAATCGACTGAACAACAAAGTTTAAGGAATCCTGTTAGAGGTAGTATATGACGTCATAATGCAAACGGTCTATTTTACATACAATCGATATACAATCCATTTAGACTCCAAATTCAGTCCTAGAACATGACAAACAGGTTTACTAACCGGTTTTTTCCATAGGTCAGTGGGAAGCGTCGCATCATCACGGCCTCTCTCAGACACCACAAGAGTGTGCTCACGCGATATCCGCCTCATGACGTCAGAGATCATCGTACATTCTAAGTTTTCTAGTAGTCTTACAAGCTGTGGACACAAATCAACGAATAATCAAGGAGAATAAACGGTGATTGAATAAGATTTCATAACTAAGAAACACTTGCGTTACAGGAGTGACGTGTCGAAAGCGTGACAGTGCTGTATCGGAGTATTTTCGTTGGATCTCCAACAATTAAGTACTACAATGACAGTGCGAATTCCCGTGAACTTCCTAAGTCGTAGAAAATTAACTTCAAGCGAAAAAGTCCAATGACTCAGTGTGTTTGATCTTGACATGGAAAACCACGGTACGCGGCACAGTCACCGTTGCAGTGTAAATGGACAACATCCGTTGAGCCAATCACAGTGCAAGACTCTTCACCAATCATCAGGATGCAGGAACACCGCAAAAGTCACGATCAAGATATTAAGGCATCTATTCTATTTGTGATTAACCAACCTGTTTGATTTTGAGTTCCATTTCTGTTGARCCCGGTGGTGAGGTCAGCGGTTCATCGTCACTGGTGAGAGCACCCAGTGCAGCATATTCTTGACCCTACAGAAAATAATAACAACCACAGGTTATGAATGATTGAGTATCGATTTTAAGATGATTTTTCTTACCAAGCCCAGCTTCATCGCCACTTGTTGGTAAACTGGTTGTAGGACCTCAATCTTGTACATTTTACTAAAGAAACATGAAAAGACAAAATATGTTAACTATTATACTCGTTGTCAGAAGGTTAGTATTTYGCTCAGCGAATGCCCCATGTTTTAAATTAGGCATTACATTATGTACAATGAGCTGACTCTTCTCTTTATAAGAAAATATCGAAGCACGAACCATCTTAGATTTCRAGAGCTGCATATTGACGGTTTTCAACCATTCCCGAGAGAACTAAAYAACAACAGACACGGCGGCCATGTTGAAGGATATAACAAAAGAATTCATTGACAATTMTTTTGTTAAGTTCCTCCAACATGGCCGCCGTGAAAGCCATCAATAGCAGATTCTAGCCAAATTCATACAAAAACTCGTTGGTTACAAAATGGAGGTTCTTTTTTAGCAAGGCCCGAAACTAGGACTTCTGTTTTATCTGATATTACATAGTCTATCGATATCCTACCAGAATCTCCTGAAGTGTTTCGTAGTCGCTATCTCATTGGTGCCCATTTTCCTGCATCCCCAGTCAGTTTTYAGCATTTCCAGCCTCGAACACACCAATAAAAACATATTAATAAGCTTGACAGCAGCCTTTGGATTCTTGCTCATTGATAACGGTCCCTTTGGGATATCGAAGTGTCTGCCACTATCGCTTTGCCCTCCCGACTCAGTGCTTCCTTCYCCCRTATCGCTGTGTCGACGRCTGGGTGGTCTTCGAGAGGTACTCGTGTTGGGCCGAGAGCGTTGCGCCGGTGATCCGACACTCGTCGTGTCTTCGTCTTGTCTAGAGAAGAACATCTCGGGAAGACCATTTTGTAGGACGTCTTCGAGGAGRAGAGAGACGCCTAGGATTTCTCCATTCACGACGTGCCTGCGAAAGGAATTACCATGATAGTCAAAATTCTATAAACGATAACAAATGATAGATAAATATAATTAAGGTTTCGTTCCATACCTGTCCACTTCTCGGAGTCCAGCTAAACATAGTTGCATGYTATTTCCAATCTSGTGCCATTGCCAGTACGTCATTGGAAAGGGCCCGTACCTAAATACAACACAACAACGTGGTAAGCGAATACATTCACTTGCAGGTGGGGTGACAGATTTATCATGGAAAACAATATCTCTGATCAATTACTTAACAGGAGGAGACGGGAGTAGCTCACATGTCAGAGTTCATTGGACAGCAAAGAAACTTAAGGACTTAACAAAGACTATAAAAAACCGTAGACTTAAGGACAAGACAGGTCCTAGAACAGAGTCGTGGGGAACACCACATTAATAGACGTAATAGAGAGACATGGAATGTCCTAGAATAGTGCTCATTGTAGGGCGCACCACAGATTAAAACTGTACTTTGAATGTAACGACATACTTTTCCATGAATGACCTCCAAGGGTASAGTTCTCTTCCTAAAGGCGTCTTAAAATCCAGTGGCTCAGGAACAGAGAAGTTCGTGTTGTACATATTCGCTCTAAAAAGCAATAATAAAAACGTTTGAAGTAGAATGAGATAGGATATATGACACCATTTGACATAGCATATCTGGTCCATTATAGACCCTTTCAGCTTCATGGTAAATGTTTGATAAACCACGTGCTGACCACTCTTTCAAGGGATTGACACGTGGCTTGAAAAGGGGAAAAGTAACTCTCAAGCTGAAATGGTCTACCTGACCGTGATCTTACCTCGGAAGGTTGCTCAGATTTTGCAGTGCAAAATGCATGTTGTCTGTGATTCTCTGTSAAGAAAAAAATAAACTATTTTACCTCGGAGGGTCGATACTACAACCTATGGTAAACGAATATAAAGGAGTTCATTAACTAATAATCTAGCTTACCCTGTATGCGGATTCATTCCCTGTGGAAAGGAAAGTATCTCGGACTGAATGACTGATGGAAATGTCCACCTCAAGGTAAAGATTGTCACGTCTTCGAGTGAGGAACTCCGCTACCTGAAAAATTTGATAATAAACTAAGTAAAATTGTAAAATTTATAAAACTGAATCAACGTAAACTAGCTAGAAACACCAACGGAGAAAAGGAGTTGGCAGATCCTTAAATTTATTTTTTTCCCTTATGCTTAGTCCCACAATTCTATGCATTATTGGGTTATTTTCAGTGCTCATTTAATGCTTGCATTGCCATTCAACACATTTTTCTTTACAAATGGCCGGTTAATAATAGCATATATTCGATTTTTATGTAGAGCGCTATTTATCATGTGTATCACATTTTTTGAGCTGATACGTTGCTTTATTACCAAACATGGAGTTGCTCTTTCCATTTTTATGGGTTCGTTTTAACTCAGTTGCTTCGTTTAAGGGGGGTAGAGTCACATAATCTTTTAGTCAGCATTCAGGGATATAAGTATGAAATAGCACTTACTTCCTGAGGATCAGTTGGGGATTCTAAATGATTGATTTGTTTTTGAATTTCCCTTAGTTCAGCGCCTATAGAGAACAAAATACGGCACAACCAATATCAATAAGATAGCTCAGGTAMTAGAAAGAGGCGATATTTGAGAAGACTCCCCTGAAACTTACCAATGCCCTCAGTGCCACCCCAGTCAGCGGTCACTCCAGAAAATTCAAGCTTCTGCGTTCCTAACCGGGCAGTGGAGCTACCCAGTCGAGCATGAGCACAAAGATACTGACAGATGTCGTGAAGCGAAGACACAATTTGCTGCAAGAGGAGAGTAAAAGATAGAATTGAAATTTTTCATAACATCAAAAGTAACCATCGTATATGGCAACCGAAACCGTTACGTTCAGTGCAGTTCCCAAATAGAAGAAAAGTCGATAACCGTCGCTCCATTACCCCAGGTATTACTTACCAAAATCACTCTCAAACACACGTTTCTTTGCTCAATCTTCATTTTTCCGAACATCTTGAGTATCTGTTAAAACACAACAAATTCAACATTAAAGATCCTMCCTTCGAAAAATAAGTTCAGATACGAAACTTGTATAGTCATTCCTATCGTTCCTTACCTCGGTGTAATGGGGTATAAACCACAAGTTAAGCAGCTTTTTGCCATCAGCGGACAAAAGTTTTCTTGGGCGTTGCTTTAATGTCCTATGAAACGATAAGATTTGTTAGTAWTTTTTTTGTTTTGTTACATCACCAAAATGGCGGCTGTGTTTTTGACATTTCCTCGTGGAAATCACGTTGTATACCAAAAGACAACCTGTTGCCATAATTGGGGCAAAAAGTCATTTTTAACAAGTAAAAAAAAACTTACTATTTTCTCTTGTCATGTGCACCACACACGTTCTATATCACGGTAAAAAGCATTTTTTTAACTTACATAGGATCAGTCGTTACTTCGTCTTCTTCGTCGTTTTTCTTTTCATCTTCTTCTCCGAAAACAAAATGTGCATCCCTAGGAATTATCATTTACAAAAGGTTAGTGCCTTTCAATTCTTTTCTTTGTATATTATGTATAAGACCTTGGACGTCGCGCTCTTTTTGCGCCATCACTAAACATGACCCGCGTTCTCCACCACTGATTGATTGTATGTTCTCCACCAATATTAAACCAAAATTTTACCAAGAGACTCTCGTTTATGGAATTTAGAGGCACTAATTGCAGGGTCATAGCACGGTAAGTTATGCTGAAAATTAATATATATGCCAACGTCATTCATTATTGATTAGTTCAAAACTTTACATTAACGTGACACGTCAGTAACAATACTGTGAAGTCTCATGATTCTTTCCGTGAATACCTGGTAGTCGGGAAGTCGCTCAGCAAATCGTGTAGAGTAATAGTGTACGCTATAATCTGAAAATAGAAATGGATACAGCCGATACTGGTTAAGAATATAATCCGTACAAGGAAATRTTAGAGGATTGAATTGAAAATAAGATCTCAATACTACCTGTGCTTGGTAAGAAAACTGCGCAGCTCTTTTGTTGAGGTTGCTACAGAAATTTGTTATCAGTTTCCTAGGAAAAAAACCAAGAAGAACAGAAAAAAAGTTCAGAGCACATAAGTACCAAGATTATTCTGCCTTTACTAACAACGACTGCTGTCACCCAAGGTAAAATTAACTGAAATCTTATCCGCAACTCTTCAAAACATTTAGGGATTCACGGAATACCGCTGTACATGTTTTTTGATTGCAGACACATACTTTCACAAACGCCAACGGTAAAGTAAAGAATGCACAACATTTTGTGAACAGAACACGTGAATATTCTACATCAAAATAACGCTAACCCTGGTTAAGCAGCAGATAATTGTTACCTACTTACCTCTTCARTTTGACCACTTCATCGATATTCTTCAACATGACTCCCAGCTGTTCTTTCTTGCGAATGTACTCGTTTAACATCTTGTCTCGAAGTGCCGTCTAAAGAAACATGGATATTCAGCATAGGTCAATATATTTTTATAATATACTATGATTATATATTAGTCATCYYGAGGTYGAGGARARARCTKGGTCGAGTTGGCATTGCAATGCATTGTGGRWSTGTTTTAGAGAAAATAAATATGCCCCATAAAACGTCCCACGATGCACTACAAACTCGACCCAGGTTTCCTCCTGAAACTCGGAACGGCTATTTGACACCAACAGTTGGAAATATCCAAAGATTGAAGACTTGTGGTAACAAAGATGTCTTATTTGTATTACACACACACTTGCTGTTACGATCGACTTACCTTTTCTAGTTGCACTGATACAAACACCTCTTGAAGTTTTCTTTCAAACTCTCGATCCCGTCTCTTGGAGGAAAACGCACTCAGAGACTGGCTTTCTTCTACTGARTTACGACGGCTCGTCAAGGAATGATCACGTGACGAAACAGGTGATAGACCCTCACTGAAAAAACCCCAAGAAACAAAACAGATTTAGAAGCCACCGGTTTGGGAACTGATTACGTTTCATAAAYTCGTGGTTTGGCGGCGGTCCAAGATTGATCAAGGGTGGTATAGTAGTGGCGTGCACTTGCTTCTCACCTCTGGGGTCTAGGGTTTGATTCCTGGACTCAACTTCACATACATTAGTGAACCAAGGGTGGTATAGTAGTGGTGTGCACTTGCTTCTCACCTCTGGGGTCCAGGGTTTGATTCCTGGACTCAACTTCACATACATTAGTGACCCAAGGGTGGTGTAGTGGTAGTGCACTTGCCTCTCCCCTTTGAGGTCTCAGGTTTGATTCCTGGGCTCGGTATTACATGTGAGTAGAGTTTGTTTGGTCTTATATCTGTGAGTCAGCACTTGACTTTGATCAGCACAATGGGTGTTGATAAAATATCAAAAGGACTGCACAAACCAAATATTTTTCACCTCTTTTCGGTTTCTGCCGCCTTCGCCTTTGCAATCGTGATTACTTTTTCACATCCCTCGAGTTGTAAAAGGCTGGAAATGATGAGATTCTTGTGGGTGACCTACAATCGACAGAGGCAGCGATTCATCACAGTGTCAATGTTGTTTTTAAATTTTGAAATAGAAAGTCAAATACTSTGATAGACATTTTACAATTTTACGTTTTACAAACGCTCATACGCTCATCTTCTTTATAAAATAGACAGAAACAGAGCACAGAATTGCTTTCTGGTGGTAATAGGGATTTCCTCATGTGCTAATTWAAAATATTTACAAACCAAACAGTTCTTTTTCATACGTACCTGGGTCATTAGGACAGTCTGCAGCTTCTCCACGCTTGTTCCATTCATTATCTAAAGACACAAACAAATCAATGACCTATTAGAATACCGACTATGGAAATAAAGAAACAGGAAACAGTGGAAGAGATGCAGGGAGAGAGAAAAGAAAGGCGCCTGACTAAGGTGCTGGATACTCACTTGCATTAGGCCTTCTCTTGTCCTAAAGCTAAAGTTCCCAACATGTTTCTCGTCCAGTTCTTGTATAGCAAGCGGTAGGTAAGCAGGTGTGTATCTACAGAAACACGAATAAATTCTAGTTACTGAACCTTGGCTACAAAGCCGTTTAATTTGGAATTCGACACAAAATACTTAAGGGCAAGGTGCCAATACCGCCACAGGCTGGAGTAACATAATATAATATAACGTAGTACCCCTCGCATAGTAAAGTGCAAACCATATATCGTGATTGTAGTAACGACTTGCCTGATACCTCCGATCCTTTCRCAGCCCTTATATTTACCTGTCAATTCTGCTATCGTCTTCCTGAACGAGTGTAATCAATACTGATTCGGTATCCACTTCGGGCTTCGACTGCGCAAAATCGAACGAGACAATTCGCAAGAAGGCGTGGTATTCATCGAACCCGATTTCCTTAGCTCGACCACGGTATATCTGTCCAGCGGAAAAGATGAATATTAATCAGTTCGTGACTTGAGATTTGATGGCATATACAAATATATTTTTAAGCATGAAGTTTCCATTACCTTTGTTACCACTTCGGTTTCCTGAGCGGATAGGATAAGTCTGTGTCGCAGAGTGATCACCTGAATGAAACAGAAAAATAATTAGTACCACAAACAGGGAGCCCTATTGAGATTAAAGTATTAGACGAAAATAAAATTCGGAAAAAAATTTCCTTCATTGATTTTATTGTATTTTATTTTTCATAGTTGAAGCCAAAATGGTGTGCTAAAATATAAACAAATAGAAAAATCCAGCAAAAGTATAGTACAGTATGATGCAMCAAACGAACAGTTATGTTATAGGTTAGTATGGGTAGCGAATGACACAAACAAGAGACGTATCAAAGCGATAGCTCCTCAAGCCAGATGCWTACCTCTAATAATTTAGACCAGATATTCAACAATATCTGTCTCTTTTCTTTGAGGGATTTTCGTCCACCTTTCTTGTTCTCCTCAGCATTAATCAGRGATTGTCCAACTTCGCAAACGAATTGCGGATCTTCGATAAACACCTCGGAAAACAGCTGTCATTCAAATAAGAGAAAAAGTTATAAGAAAGAAAGAGGAGTTAAGACAAAAAAACAAAAAAACGTATATGCGTGGAAAAGAAACAGCTGGGGTTCCACAGAGCGTTACTTTATGCCATCTCATGAGAGTAAAAGGACCGTGAAAAGACCTGGCCGCCATGTTGGAGGGTATGATTAAAGAAACAAAGACTATGACGTCACGTACATTCAAAGAGCAGTCCAAGAAATCCTGGTGTCAAAAAATGGATTATACCAGAGCCCTCGTTCTACGCCGCAGGCCAGAAGAAACGCAGGCTCAGGGTAGGAGATTGGAAGAGAACGGACAGCTAACTTGGTGAACATGCGCAGTAACTCAAAACGAAATCTATTCGGGCTTCCGACGCCAGAATATTTGTGTAAAGTAAGAATAGTAATTTTTGGTGAATGAATCTAATCAAGTACTTACGTCTTTTTGTGTTTGCACAGAAAAGTTATTTCCGGTCGGTTCAAGCGAGTCCCATTCCTTTTGTGCCACTTCAAGCAATCGCTTCTCCATTGAGATTATCTCCCCTGTGCTCTTTGGTTTGTGAATCTCGGAGAATGTCTGTGTAAGTAGGATCAATCATTATGTTCAGTAGATCGGCCGGTCCTGTCAGTCGGTAGGACAGTCAGTTGGTTAGTCAGTCGGCAAGACGGTCGAATCCTCGGTCGGTCGGTAAGTTATTCAGTAGGTTGGTCGGTTGGTCGGTTGGTCGGTTGGTCGGTTGGTCGGTTGGTCGGTTGGTTAGTATTGGGTCGGTCAGTCGGACGGTCTAATGCTCGGTCGGTCGGCCGGTCGGTTGGCCGATTAGTCAGTTAGTAACTCAGTTAATCAGAGAGAACATGTACATCAGTCGAAAATTCATCAGTCTGAGAGACAAATTAGCCTTTTACTTGAATGATTAAATTAAATTTTGCCTATCTTGCTAATAGCTAAGACTTATAGACACAGTTCCACTAACCTTAAATATATTGTTCAGTGCTTCTGGTATTCGACCAATCATAGCTAAAGACGGGTGAAACTCCAGCATGTAGATATATTGTAGTGCGGGCCTGAAATAAACAAAATAATTAAGATAATCTAAAAACAAGAGAGCTACGTTTATCATAAATTTCTGTATAACCGAATTCATTTTTGTGGATTTTTGAGTACATTGGCAAAACTTTACAGCGTGCTACGAATGACAAAGAAAGGTATGACTTACTCACAAAGCACATTTCTATAACCGTTTTGTATTTGAAAAATGGCTCAATTTTTCATTACCTGCTGATGTTGACGGCGATAAGCTGCTGTGGAATCACACGCAGAGGAAGCCCAAACCCTGCCAAAAACGAAAACCGAATTGAAAGTTAGTAAAACAGATTTGATAATCACATGTGAGTAGAGTTTGTTGGTTTGTTGGTTGGGTTGGATTTGAAGGTTTTTCTTCGGCTTCTCTGGTTTTCCTTCCTCCGCAAACCCAACAAGCGAAATACACCGTTCTCATAATGGCTGACAAGCGCACCAAAACAAGGCAACCCAGTCATCTTGCAAGGCTGAGCAAGGCTGCTCATACAAAATAAAGGTGGATAGTGCAAATTCAGGTCAAACAAAAAGTCATTTTCTATACTTTTCTTTACTTTCATTCTATGAACGCATTTCATGTGCTTTTATTTCTTCTATTCTAAACTAATGACTGGTTGACCTCGTATTCGTGCACTTGTCAGCCATTATGAGAACGGTGTATTCCAATTGGATCTGTGAATTAGCCGTGCTCTGACTTTAATCCCCCCAGAGGCAGCTCAGCCAGGATATCGAAAATTTCAAGGTATTTTAGTAAATGTTACCTACCCTTGTTCCCTTTACGACATACTTTTTGTAAATATTCTCGYTCTTCTGCAATCTAACCAAAAAAATTAAAAATGTTATCATTCAATAAGTTTCCAATCTTTCAAAAAACTTGTCAATAACTAGTCAAACCTGTTGGTCCAGTATTGTCTTGATAAGGTTGCAGTAGAGTCTCAGGTTCAGGCATTCCGCACGGTAGATACGTACGAAGTAATCCGCTGTGAAATCAAACCGGGGGCGCATGGACATGACATTTGTGATCACCTTGTCAAACAAAATGTCTATTAGTACTAGTTCGTATATGCAAATAAATTGTTAACCAAGGAAACTCTGCTTTAAAACGATGCAAGAAAGTAGTAGTTTGGTAGTAATTAAGAAGGTAGTAGCTTGATAGTCGAATTGATTTTATCAGATCACGTGCCATTCCCTTGATTATATTGTTACTTTGTTTATCAGTAAAGCTAAAAAAAGATGCATTATTAAGGAGGGGATCTTTTCTCAACGGGACGRCACGCCGTCTTGCAATGGTTCTGGGGACCCAGTACCGAATTTGGGGTATACCTGAGCGAGCTTGGTTTTYTCGTTGGTATCAAAAACGTGTTGATAACCTTCGTAGTAACAATCAATCAACTAGAGTAAAAATAAACACAAAACATAATTAGAAACGAGGAGAGAAACTTTTGCGAGGAAACGCTAAGAAGGGCTTTGAGAAAGACTGTAATTACCTGTCTCTTATTTTCCAGGTAGGCTGCTTCATTGGTCCACAAGTCCAAYAAAACTGCGAATCTATCAACTTGCTGATGACCATACGACGAAATGTCGATCCTATCACCATGGAACTAATATAAAACCAAACAACAGTAACATGTAAGATTGAATCGTCAAATGTGAGCGGGGTTTGTGTCACAACGCACGATATCATTGATTATCCAATCAAATGCTCAGACGGCA